AGACCTTAAGATTTTAATTGATTTAATTTCAATATCACTTTGAAAGATTATTTTTCCCTTTGAATTTCTACCATTTACTGCATTTGAGTTTTGCTAATAGTCTCTCCTCTGTATTGACCTTTGCTCTCAATCACACAACTTATTCCAGTTTCTAAGCTTAATATCCTTCCCTGTCAATTTCAACTGAGTGGAGAGCAAGTTTTTTTCCTCACTCTCATGACAGCTACTCTGAAAAGCTGGCCCAAGGGCAGACCTCAACAACATTTTTAAAAGCTGGTCAGGACAATCTTTAAACTATTTCTGAACACACAACCTTTTTTTTATGTATTTACTCCTACCTAACATACCAGCGTGATTTCATTGGAAGATTTAGAAAAAGACCACATTTTTCTGACTCTTCTTGAAATCAAGGTAGAAAAAGCCAAGTAGAAGAATTACAACAAACAGTGCATCCATGAGTAGATAGAGACTATGAGGTAATGACTTACAGCTTTGGCTGCCAACCAAAAAAGATACACTTAGCAAAAGGCTGGAGAAAAACAATGATATTTATCAACCCATTCAAATACACATAATAAAAGCAACTTATATTAGTAATTTATGTTATACAATTACTGTTGTCAGGTTGAAATTCCTCATAATTCAATCCAATTTAGTGTGATGGATAGCAGTTAGTTATAGATCATTTGCAATTATGTTTTAAAAGTTAGTAAAATGTTATTGGCAAGCCAGCAGTTTGTTCACAATAGTTACTGGTGCAATCAGGACTTGGAATGGCTTGTAGATTCCCTGTTCTGAAGCCAGAAAGGGATTTAATTACGAAGGAAACCCCAAAGATTGAAGATTCATCCAACTATTGGCCGATGACCTGGCTCTATACAACATGACTCTTTTAATCACAGTGAATCCTTGCTTGAGCTGGGCAGTTTTTTTTTTCAAAACTCCAGACTTGCTTAAAGGAATAGTACACCCAAAACATGATTAGCCTTCATTTTCTACTCACCCCCATGCTGAACAACACTCTGGAGTACTTTTTTGATATCTCAAATGCATCTGGAGATCTGGGAGGCTTCTTGCTGTCTGCTGACATTCAAATAATGGAGGTCTATGGTGCCCGAGGCAGAAAGGTCCATAAAAGTCCACAAAAAACGTGTCAATATTCCTCCATACTGCTCGTCCAATGTATTCCAAGTGTCCTGAGTGGGTAGGGTCCATAATTTACTCGAAGCAAAGTCATTTAGAATGTTTTTAGAGCATAAACAGTAGTGTATAGGATTTCCTAAAAGCGCGCGCCTGCGAGTTCACGAGCCTACGGACACCGCGGCAGACCAAACCAGATGAAAGTGAGCATGGGGTTGAGTAGAAAATGAAGGCTAATTATGTTTTGGGTGTACTATTCCTTTAATCAGCTGTAAATTTAATTTAGGTTATTCAAGTCTCTTTGCATTCTGCCTTTGACTCACTTATTTACACCACGTAGTATAGTAATTTCTAAAACATTTTCGCTCTACAAATAAAATCGTGCTAAACAAATGTTATCCCTCCAAGTGTACAGTATGTTTATACATATGTTGTATTTGTTTAGAGTTTGAGGGCTTTTATAAACTTTCTGTTTGGATTTAACATCAAAATACCTAAAATGGGTGGGGGGGGGGTAAATTCAGTGGAGAGAAGGAGTTTTTAGCGCTTACAGTAGTAGTGTTCCTGACGTCCTGATCTGCCTCTTATCCGTTGAGTGTGCCTGTTCCCATCTGAACTTTTCTGCTTGAACTCTCTGTGGACTCCTGGAAACCTGAACCAGCCTGTTCCTGTTCTGATCGATATCTCTGACTGGGCTTCGGACTCCTGGACCTCTGAGCTTTCCTGTTCTGATCTGTTTCCCTTACCTGGCTCGGACTCCTGCTTGCCCTCTGGGACTGCAGCATCAGGAACACTCTGGGCGGCGCCCTCCGAATCTAGTTTGCAGTCCGCCGGCTGGATCATACCGCTTTCTATCGAGATGGACTGAACTGTTAAAACAGTTAAGTGACTCACATTGATAATCATCCTCCGTCAGATTTTTATGGTCACTTACCTGTGTTTTTCTCCAACCAGAGTTTCCAGTGATGGGCGGTTCCCTGCAGCAGCCACTGTAGACCCGCAGCTCTACTTATGCATTTAAATAAATGCTTTGAATTATCCTACTGTCTGTCTCTCCTTGAATACTGGGTCCTTCTGTTCTGCCGCGTGACAAATTAAGTAAACAACTTTATTGCTGTATCGATAGAGTTGCAGAGTGGCCAATGGCAAAACATTAAAATTAAGCCTGCTGTTGTTTTGTTTCACCATGTTGCAAATGCCTTATCTTCCTCTGCTCATGCTGCAGCCGCAGAGTGGACCTATTCTTGAGCAAGCACTACAGAGCTGCTGGTAGAATGTTAGCTGGGGAGATCCAAAAAAAATTTTTTCCATAGTAAAAGAAGGCTAATGAAAATAAAAAGCTTCTCTGGCACCTACAGATTAACTCAGAGATGCTCAATGCTGTGGCTCCAGCTGCTCAAGGTATTCATCAGCGGAACATTACATGTCATAAGCAATATTAGATGAATTCAAAACTGCTCTTCTACATAGCAGTAAACGTTGAGAGATAAAAAGGGAAGCCCTCCAGGAAAGCAGAGCAACATATTTAAACATTTTTTACCTCTAGCCTACTAAAGATGTATTAAAGATGCTTGGGAGCATCCCACTTTCCCACTATGGTGAGTTGATTTCTTTGTATTTATTCGACTGTAGCTTTCTCAAATGACATTTGAAAAAATTAAGAAATTGTAAACTGACTATCCACTTGCACAAAGTTTGCTCGCGGATCTGTTCATGACCAACGTCACCTTAGACGGCCTTTCTGGTGGAGAAAACAGTTGTAAAGCAGTGGAGGTGGTAATCTGGGGTCACATTTAAGGTTGCAGAAAATCTGGAGAACAAACAAAAAAAAAAAAACTGATGAAAAGAATGAACGACGGGGAGACAAATAAAAGAAATAAACAGAGAAGGCCATTTAACAAAAATTGGTAGGCAGCAGGTCCAAAATGGTTGCTATATGACCCAGGGGAGAACGTCATTTACAGAACTGGCTGTTTTTCTGATTTTCCTGAATTCTCATTCAGGTGTTTTTTCTGTTCTGTGTGAGTGTTTATTGCCATACATAAATGTTGAAACAGGCAGTGTTTCCTATTAGCTTTTTCCAGTTTAGTTCTTATCTTTTATCTTCTTCTTCCTCACAACATTTACAAATACAGTAGTTTTCCAGTTGATGTTAATCGTCCTAGTTTCCAAGGAAAACAGTTTAGGGTTACAAGCAATTAACTTCTTTAATATTAGTTTTCGCATTTTTTAAACTTCGCATTGATTGAAAAAATATTAATATATGTTATACCATGGCTGTTCATATAGACCAGAAAATACAAATCTTACAGTAAATATATCGATAGGTATTCTAAGAAAAAATGCAAACCTCTACTAAATACAAGAAAGCTTTTAAAGCAATAATAAATGGAATTGATATTGAATCAAATTGAGGCCAAAAGAATTTGAACCTAATTCAATTTTGAGGTCCCTAAAAATACCCAGCCCTACATTATTCAGGGAACACTTATGAACCCTTTATGACTATTGCTACTGAGCAGTTAAGTGTGCTTTCAAACTACCAAAGGAAATAATAGTTTATTTCAACCTTCATATAGCTGGGTTTAACATAGACAAAGACTTCCTGAAACCAAGACTCAGCCATATAGTTACCACAGCGTTATTTGATTAAACATGATAAGAAGGACCTCAAAAATCATGCTGATACAGAAGACTCTGGTAGATGACTTGTTTTTGTGATTCAAGGGTGAGGATTTGTTCTGATTGTGTTGAAGTGCTCACAAGTACCATCTGCATTAAAGAGGTAGTTTTTCCTGTCTGATGTGATGCTCCAATAAAATTATTAGGTTAAGATGCTAGGGATTTTTTTTTGCCTCTATATTTTGTTTAATGTGATAAAGCATACATATAAATTAAATCCGATTTAAACTGCAATAGAGAACAATAATGTGCTGTGATCCATTTAGTCAGGATTAACAAGTAACCGTTTTCAAGGAAACAACAGGTATTTATCAATACACTAATATGTAAATGTGGGAGATACTCAAGTTAGTCTATAAATGCATAGTTTAATGTCTTTTTTCCTCTGTATGTCTCAAAAACTGGTTGATACAACAGTATTGCTGAAAACAGCATTTTAAAGTTCAGAACTATTTCCTTGCATGATCAAATGCAGGGAGATGGATGGTAGCTTTGGTTGAGGGTTTTGTCAAAAACATGATCTGCTAACAGTTTTTCTGTACCTTATGTAACTGTTAATGAATGTAATGGATGATTGAGTCTGATTAATTGTTTTCTTTCTTTCATTTATTTTTTTTTTTCATTCTTTATTTCTTTATTGCTTGTCATTACACCTCAATAGTTAGGATTTGGACAGTATTTTCTGTGATTTTTATATACTTTAAGGTGTTTCTTCTTTCACTAAATAAGAGTCATGGGTTTTGTTCTACCCCTTAGGGTAAACCTTCTTCTAAATGCCTAACATTTTTGCAAATGTCACTTCACTAAGCTACATCAGTATTCGTATCCCTCTACTTAACCTTTTTTAACATGTTAGAGTTCGATGGAGACTCATTATTTTTATTATTTTTTATATATTTTTTTTTTGTAGATAAGATAGATAGCAATTAAAATATGTTTCTCTCACATTTTATCTTATTTTCAAACTATTTATGGTTATTTTGCAGCTCTTTTACGTTCCTACTCATCTAATTGTTGGCAGGTTCTTTGTCCTTTTCAGAACAATAGAAAAACAATAAAGCCAACACCTGGCAATATTGTTTTAGTGCCAAGATGATATACACGATCTGACNAGACACTTCAAAATGAGGGGAGTTGTTGAACATTTCATAATTGATGTGTTCTGTGTTCTTTGACAGATGCCATGTTGGCGGTAGCAGACAGACTGGTGGGTCCTGTCAACATTGAAGCAGTAATAGAGCCAATCGATATTAAAATCTCAGAGGCTATAATGACGATGCAGGACAACAGCATGCAAGTATCAGCAAAGGTACTGTATCCTGAGAACCTTGCATTTGGTTCATATTAAGCCTATATTATATTTAAAGGTTTTCTTTAATGTTTAATGACCTCAGTCAATATACTCCTTTATTTAGACTGTTTCAGGTTGCGGGAGAAAAAAACAATGTTTTTTTTTTTTTTTTATTGTGCTTTTTGAAGTTCATGTTGACAATTATTCGTTATAAACTCTTAATTAGTTGCAATAAGATATGACAAACTATTCCACTTAACTACCATGTGATATTATTTTATGAAATCTGGTTCACCTTTAAAATGTGTAATTATTGTCAGAGTTAATACCATGGCATGTCTTTAAAAACAAAAACAAAAACAAAAAACACTTTAAACATGCAGTTTTATCAGTTTTACTTCAGTGCATCTTGAGATTATGCTTCACAAACCAATTGTATGAGATTTTAAGTTTGTTTGAAAGTGTAATTTTGCTCTGAGTTCTCTAAACATACCAGACTGTATACCAATATGATTAAGCCACTGCTGTGTACCCGATCCTTAAGAGAAAATTGTTTCTGTATGTGAGCACAACAGACAGACGAACAAACAGAGGGACAGACGGACAGAGGGACGGGCAGACAGTATATTCTCACTCCCAACTCATCAACATATAGACGCTTGGTCAAAGTCCCCTGTGCGTCACTCGCTTACGCACTGGGTAAATACGGGTGTTTTGGAGTTCTGGCAATGGGTCTACTTCCTTAAAAGTTGTCTTTCAGTTTTGTCTTTCAACCTTCACCTGCATGGTGGAAATTGTTCACTGTGGCATCTCTTAACATTACCTTTGCCAAGAAAGGAAAACTAATGCTTTGCTGTATACCAGCTAATTTGTTTCTGTGACGGTAACAGTAACTAACTGAGCTGTAGTTTTGTGGAAAAAATTCACACAACATACATTATTTTCTATATTCTGGTGATTTTCAGAGAATTGAAGTAAAGAATTATGGGCCCTACCAAAAAAACTTGCATCTTAAATAAACTGTAAACTAAGAATTTCACAACTTTGTTTATTAATTAACCTATACAGTTCAATTAAAACAACCAATGGGGAACATCGTTTTTTACTGGATTACTGGCATTAATACAGGAACCAGTGCAATCCTGTGCAATCTACACTGTGAATATGTAATATTCGGCTAAGGATTAAAATCTTAAATAAATAGCATATTAGATTTTTTTCAGTTGGCATAACAGCTAAACCATTCAGACCTTCTAGGAGGCTGTAGATTCTATAAAAACTCACCATGACACAAGACAACATTTCTCTGGATGTTTAATTTTGCTAAATGTGATGTAAATTAAGTTTTTAAACATATTCATGGGACCAAAATAAAGATAAATTAATAATACAATTTATAATGAAATGACAACATCCCTCTGGTTCCTCTTCTATCAGTCCTGGATAACTGAGTTGTTCTGCACATCCTCTCTGTGTCTTATGTGGTAGGCTACTCTTTTTTTGGGTGGCTGATCTTTTGAAAAATAAAATGCAATGGTTCTTTTTCTTTTTTGTGGAGCTCCTATAGGTTTGTGAAGCATACCTGGAAACTTTAAGAATGTAGATATTTGTGTTGGTTTAGTTATTCCTAAAATCCAAAGGGGAATTGTTAAACTAGACTGAGCAATAATCATCTAACTTGTGAGAAAACATGAACTAAAACTGAGGCTAAATCAGGTTCCTAAACTAGAGCAAACAAGTTGTAAAGCTCTCAAAAAATCACCAGATGTAGAGAAAACAAACCATTTGATGTCAATTTGATGTGATCCTACACTTAGTCTCCTCATTGATAATTTAAGCTAGCTGCTGTATATTTCATACATATTTACTCAAGTGCTACGTTGCTTCAAATCTTTATTAATTTACAAAGCAAAGTATCTTAGTCCAGATAAGATAAAATTCATGTGACATACGTCGTACTGACTGCTCAGAAAATCCCAGTGTTTTTTAATATCTGGCACGGGTCATTCAGTTCTGTTGCTGTCAGCACAGTGAATAGTAGGTGGGCTGGTGCAAAAATACTGGAATTAACCTGTCATGTACTCGTGCGTCATCACTAAGGTTGTGTAGAAAACGCAGACTGGATTTTTATCAGCATTATATTTTTATTAATAGATAAGGCGAGTTGAGTTCAGCTTTAATATCTGTCATTTTTTACCATAAAAAATTGGGGATATAGAGTGTGAGCTTGACAGTGAGATGTAGGAGTCTCACGCCCAATATGTGAGCCTGTAGTAGCTGTTGTTATCTCTAAACCCCCAAAAATCGTGGGAGAATATTTGACTTGTTCTTGTTGAAAGTAGTATCTTTGCATTTATGTGCCATTACCGTATATTAGTTTAGCAATGTTGTAGAAAAAAATAATTTTTCACGTTTTTGATTTAGCAGTTTTGTAGTTTTCATGTTTGTTTCAGCCTGTTTTCTCTTTTTTATTTTGCTGGCATTCTCTCTACGGTAACTGTTTTTTTCTTTGCTCTATTTCAGGTTTTTCAAGAGTGTGGTCAACCAAAGCCTTCTTCAGTAGGCAGGTCTGCACGGGGCATCTCAGATTCATTTGGTAGTCGCTACAGACCCTTTACCCCAGAACAGAGACCTACGACTGCAGCTGGAACAAGCTTGGATAGACTGGTACGCAGAAAGACAAGATAGAACTTTTAAAATGATAAACGGTGGATTTAAACATTTTCTGTCCAATTTAATGACATAATAATACTCTAATGCCTAAAAGAATAAAATTATAGAAATCCTTAGTAGTTTCATGATTATAAAGACTCAGTCATATACTTATTGTATAAAGGCCAGAGTATTTAACCTATAAACTGCCAAAAACTACTGCAAAAAATTCAGTTTTTCCACATATTTTCACAGCTAAACTGATCTTCAGAGCTCAAGAGAGTTTCTCTTTTTTTTATATATATATATATTTTTATTTTATATCATTGGCAAAGACAAACTTCTTGCATGCTGTGCTTAAGGTCTACTATCTGGAATGTAAGTTCAAAGGCCAGAAAAAATAGCGGGGTGTTCAAGTAGATCACTAAGCTCCTAAGGGCCGTTGTAACTTCCACCACTGATTATCGAAAAAGGATTTTTATACACATTCCAGCACAAAAAATAACAGAAGTGTACACTGGTGATTCAATAATTGAATATGTTTCTAATTCTAAAGACAGGGAATGCTTCTACCTAGAATTTCCATTGTTACGTTTCATTCAGAAAACGTAAGATATTCCATTAAATGTGGTGAAAAATCTGAAACACGAATTACAACTCAGATAATGATTTGCATGGTGTCACGTTTTAGATTTAAGGGTAGATTGTTTATATGTTTCGACTCTGCAATGAAACCAAATATCTTAAAAAGAGCAGTAACTTGCAAATGCAAGCATTGTCTTAACAGAATTTTGAAAGGATTTTAATTCAGTTCATTGAAAGTGATTTAAGCCATGCATCTTATTTTATGCAATGAATTCGGACCATCAATGAATGCTTTTTTACATCAACGCGTATCTTAACTGGGAAATCCATCAATTAAAGGCATTATAGTCCCTGCAACCAAAAGGTACAGTTGATAATATAGTCAGGGATTTAAATGGATAATATTCAGGATCACAGAAGTGATTAAATGCTGCAGAGATTACTGTGAGAGTCTTTAACAGAACTCTATTAAGCTCCAAGGAATAAAAACATGGCATATACACAAAAATGTGAGATCTGTGAGCATATTAATTTAAAATATTCATATAACTATATACATCTCCATCTTAAAAACCAAGTCCTCTTACAGTATTTGGTTTAAGACATAAACATCAAAAAGAAGGTATAGGGTAAATTCCAGCAGTCCCTCTCATTTTAATAATGCATTACTGCATGCTTATACAGTGTATACTTCCCCATGTCAAATATTTAAGATACTCTCTGTAAGCTACTGGTTTGCCCAGTGTAATACTTTTCTAATATGATAAGGTGTCTTGTGTAAATGTCAAAGAGATTAATATATATTCATTTGACAGGTAAAGCACTGATGCGCTGTTTCTAGCATACACCTATATGTAATATAAGTTTGTAAATTTTGCATAGCTCTCTCACTGAAACATGAAAAACTTTAGACAAATGTTCCACATCAGGTTGAGATTTGTATGCAGGTTATGATTTGTGCATTGATCTAAAAGTAGAAGATTTTGAGAGTTTACATTGCCTCCCTGGAAGTCATTGCGAATCAAATAGTTTGAGATGCTAAATCTCACAGGCCGGACAAATAGGATATTTCCTCAGCACCATTTATCATTTAACTTTTTGCTTTGCTAACTAATAGACATTCTTTTGCTCCAATTCACTGTCTCAGTCTCTCTGTTTCTCCAATGTCCAATTAAATCTCTTTCTTCTTCATTTCTCTGCTGCTCCCAGAGGGCTGTTTGGAAGACAATGCAACACAGTGTAAGCTTTCCATTCCTCTACTTGATTTCACAGAGTCATCACTCTTGTGTTTTAATCAACCTGCCCAGTGCACTTCACCTCCTTATGTTTAGTATTGGTGGTAACTTCTTCTTCTTCTTTTTTTATTCTATTTGCTTATAATTAGTTTGTATTTTTCATTCTGTGCTTGATAACTCCAATACACTGACTTAAAGTCTGGTGTCCAGGAGTTTGTAAGATACCTAATGCAACATGGTACATTTTCATCTGTGTCAATATTTGTTGTAAGCCTGTTGAAGGATTCCATTTAGGTTTTAGTTAGTGCTGCCATACCTCTCCTGCAAGCTGAATTGTCATGGTATTTGTGCATTAGAATCCATATTTCTGTGTAACCAAAGGGTTGTCAGTTCAAACCCCAGGGCTTGGCTTTCAGTGATGTCGTGTCCTTGGGCAAGGCACTTTAGTAGGTGTACACACTGGTGTACACAGGCGCCACCTGTGTTTACCAGCCTTGCTTCTGTCCGTGAGCCCCTGGGCAGCTGTGGCTATGATGTAGCTCGCCACTATCAGTGCAATGCGTTAATGACTGAATGTAGTGACCTGTAATGACCTGAAAAAAGCACTATATAAGTACAGGCCTTTTAGCACGGTTCCTTTCATCTTCATATAAAAAAAGACAAAGCTTTAAAATAGTTTTTATTATGCTAATAATCTATTTGCCCGCATTTAATATTCTGTAAAATATTATTATTTTGGTTTTGTTTTAAGTTTTGAAAACCCTCTTACCAAATGTTTAATTTCTATAGCCATATATAAACAAAAGCCTGGCTTCTGAAAGGTTTTCCTCTGTGAGGTCAGTGAAGTAAAGGACAGAGCAAAGTATTTCTCAATAAGAGGTCTCTGTAATCTGCACTAATTATATGATTTACTGCAGAGTCACAGCCATTATTACACCTGATTTAGAAAGGTTAAAACACACAAAAAATAAATGTCTTGGAACCTAATGGGGGAACCTGTCTGTTGGCTTATATAAAAAACTTAGAATTTGAAAATTCACAAATACTACTAAAGCCTTTTTTAGATTTGTGGTAAAAACTCTATTACAAAGATAAAAAGTCCAATCAATAAATATAGCCTACAAATATGTAAAATTAAATCAAATGTATTTTAATGTGCCAGTTTCCGAATTTTATCTTAATGAGATGTTTTTCTTTTTATCTATAAACTGGAAAAGACACCAGATTTGCCTTCAGTAATCTGGTCACCTCATCATGGACAGACAGGACGGCAAGAAGCAACTGTGCTCCACTTCTCAAACAGTGGGGATCTGATGGACCTAGGGACCCCAGTGCAATTGTTCCACCTTCCCCATCAAATATGAAAATATATGTCCAACATGTTGGCTTGAAGAGATAACAGGCAATGGGAAAGATGTTCCTCCTATTCAATAGCGAGGTGAAGCGTTTTCCCCAATGGCAAAGAGAATTACTGCCGAAATGTCAATTAAGCAACAGCACACAAATGCGTACTTACGTTCATTAAGATACTACTTATCTATCCATTGGAAGAGAATGAAGAGGCATGGTAGAATCGCAGCCCTAATTCTCATAGTACATTATTTGTCTAACAAAGATGTTTCTGAGATTTACTTACTTAAGTGGGAAAAGAGCTTTTTAGGGATGCCTTTATTATCCCTTTTTTAAGTACTTCTACACTCCATGTCAATTTTATCACTTCACACATAGACATTAAATAACAATGTGTAATACAGGACGTTGGTGAGAAATACTTTAAAATATAGATTAAGAAAAGTGTAGTTGAACCAGCTACCTTGTAAATGGTAAATCACTGCTTATGCTCCTTTGCTACAGTACCCGGTAGTAAAAAAAAAAGTACTTTTCTTTTTTTTTTTTAAGTATGTTTTGAAATGATTTCCAAAACATCAGAAAATTGTTAGTGTATCTGCATTAATATTTGTTGAATTTGATAAATAATAAGCAGAGGTTTTTGATTTTAAAACAATAACCAATGTTACAATTACAATCATGGAAACTTTTTATAACTACAAATTATTACATGACCCTTAATTTTCTTTAACTTATTCTTGTAAAGGTATATTGTCTGAACAATCGAAGGAACATAAGGGTTATCTAATGTTTTTCCTCAACTGCATTGTTTCTCTCTTCTTTACTTAGATGCTCACTGAAAAGAATTGTGAGATATCTTTGATATGATAGATTTATTTGACCTTCTTAATGGATTTTCATTGCTAAGCACAGTTGAAATGGGGATGCAGTTTAAAAGAAAGCAAATGAGTCATTAGCATTGGCGAAGCCTTTTCCCATTATACACTAATTTTGTTTTTGCTAAGAGCCAGGACCAGGAAATGATCTAGTAAAACAAACTCTGCAGCTTTGCTGTTGCGTAGCAAAAATTGTAGAATCTATGAGTTATGCCACAAAACGGATCCTATTACAGCTTTAATGGAACTGAAGCATATAATTCAATATTTTGTGTGTGTTTTTTATTCGTTTTAATGGTTTCAGCAGCAGATAAGCAAGAAAAAAAGAACAATGTTGAGAACAGTTAATCACAGTGACAAGCTAATTTCCTACTTGGCATTTTTAGCAGCAGCAACATCAACAAGGGGGCATCCTTACTGTTGTGATTTACACAATTTTCTTAATTGTTGTAAGGCTTATTTGCTACTTAAGAAGAACTCACTACTACTCTTTCAAATGAATCAAATATTTTTTACATTCCAGGGTTTATTATAATCTTTCCTTTACTCATTTCTAAAGTGATTGAACTCTGATTTCAAGTTTAAAATTCTATGTGATACAAGTATTCCTAAATTCTTAAACAAAAATGAAACCCTATAAATAATAATGTGTCTTACATCATTAGCACATGTGGTGTGCTGTTTAATTTAGTATATGTTTGGAAATATACATATTAAAATAAAGCAGATGGTATAATCTTAATAGTACAAAACCACTTCCATAGAATAAATAGAGTAACATTCGCCTGCTACTTTTCCTCATTAAGTAGTTCACCACTGGGAAGAAACTGGTAGTCAAGAAGTTATAAATGTATTTTTTTTAAAGCTTTGCTGTTATATTTCTATGCACCTACCTGCAGAATTCACACAATCAAAATTATATCAACTGGACTCAAGTTTTCATATCTTTGGCAGTTTTCATATATTCTTTTAGTCACAAAAAAACCTTGTATTTTTAGAGTAATTTCTGTCGGCTCACTCCATTATAGGTGTCAAAATATCTTTAGACTGTGCGTGAGTGCGGTCGTCTTCAATTTAGGCCTGTTTTGTGGTTAACATGACCCAGAAGGCTGAGAATTTACTATGTTGTTGTTTTCTAATTACAGATGTAGTTATTTATCTGCAAATCAAGTTTTATTATAAAGTAATTAAAAAGAACAAAGCAAATTTTTAAATCAAATGTATATGCGCTGCATTAAAAGTATGATATAGCCACTTTTCATTAGCTTAAGGCTTATAGTGTTAACTTGGAAATAAAAAAAACAACATTCAGAAAATAGATAAGATATAAAACAAAAGACTTTAAAAAACATTAACAAGTAAGCAATCCAACCTAAGATTCAATAAGCTCAGTTTGGTTTTCTTCAGAAAAATATATTTCTTCTCTGTATTAGGCCTTGCCTCAACAAACATTTGCCACTTATGCCATATTATATTATTATTTAATTTACCCAGCGCACTGCTCTGGGTACAATAATGCACTGCACCTTGGGCACCAAGTACCAGTGGAACCACTAGGAAAAAATGGGTTTGTAAAACATCATGGTTGTTGTAACAAATCATAAAAGTTATATATTTCAAATAGAAATCTGTAAAATATATTCTTAGATTTAAGCAATGATCAGGAAAACAAAGGACCTCGCTCTATTTTCTCATATTGGGTCCACCTCCATGAGCCTAGAATGCATTAAGTAGTGAAAAAAGCTGCCCTACAGGGATAATACTTTTAAAAAGTAAGGAGTTTAGGAATTCAAAACAGATTTCAAAATGGAATGCTAAAAGAAACATTGTGAAAAGGGCTGTCAAAGTCACTGTATAAATCCAGATTAATGCAACTTCTTTTTAACAGCATTATCTTTTTAAAGGGTGCACTTCCGTACATTTTGGACTCGATCTACACTATTACCGTATCGTCATTTTGTTTTCTTCTTCAGCTATTTCTGCCATTTGTTTAAAATTCACTCTGTCTCACCTTTTATCTGAAAATATCGTACAGTCATTTTGCAGCATCAGGTTCCCTACTAGATGCACTAATACTACAGTAGCTTGCAGAGTTTCTGTCTCGGACTGTTCCGAGTGCTGCTGTCATTTATTGACTCTGCTGAAGCTCATTTGAGTCATTTGGAGACAAGTTACCATCATAATAAATAATGTCCTCTGCCTTTCCTCACTCATGCCATGTGAATATACTGTATGACAAAGCGATGTTTCTTATGATACAGTTTTCTTAAAGAAATCAAAGACAAGCTGTAAACTGGAGAGATCAGGGCGGGAATACAGGCAGAAGTCCCAGTATGTGCCACACGCTAGAAGAAAATCAGGTACACAAATACAGGCCCACAAAAAGTGGTCCGACTGAATAAGTTTTTTACTTTCAACCAGTAGTTAAACCCAGCAGTCGATTTAACAGGATGTGTTCAAAATCAGGCCTCTTATCGAGGAGACAGGGAAGAGAAACTACCTGTCGGCTGACAGATGCTGAGGCATGCTGGTGCCTGTTGATATGAAGTGAAATGTTGTTAAACTTAGCAGATATCCAAGCAATATATCTTAAAAGTTAATATTTGGCTCACAGAAAGCATCATATATACATTTTCTTATTCTGAATTTTGTCACCATCCTCCATCATTACTCCCTGAGTTTGATCAATCTGCTTTTACCTGCTTCGATTCTCCATGGGAAATGGAGGGCAATGAAATATACCAATCCTTCAAGTTTGGGAAAAGCAGGACACATTTGT